TCCAGGTCCTGGGTTTCATTCCCAGCACCTGACCCCCTCCCAAAAAAATTATACACAACCATGGGTTTATAATTTACACACACATTCTAGAGGTAGACAGAGACATATATGTGTCCAAAATTATTCTTTGTGCATCCAACATTCAAATTAAGCAAATTAAGTATCCTGTTAAGCATTGGGAGACAGAGGCAGGCGGATCTCTGTGAGTTCAAGACCAGCCTGGTCTACAGAGCAAGGTCCAGGACAGCCAAAACTATACAGAGAAATCCTGTGTCAAAAAATCAAAACAAACAAAAAAAGCCCCACCCAAAACCAAAGCAAAACAATTTAGCACTCTATATTTCATTGGCAACCTTAGGAGGCTATCTCTAGGGAACAGTAGACCCTTCCAAAATGAACATCTCTTTCACTCCTGTGTTTAGAGTCTAGACTCTGGACCATACTGCCTGAATTCGGGTCTCTCCATTACTTTTAGCTTTTGTTTTTGAGACAAAGCCTCAATACATAGCTCTTTCTGGTCTGAAACTCAATATGTATGTACACCAGGCTGGCTTCTCCGTCTCTCCAGGGCTGGGATTCCAGGCATGGGTCACCACAGCTGGCTTACTTCTATCCTGTTACCTCATGGTAAAGTGAGGCTCATGGTACCTTCTATCTCACGTGACCGTGAGCGCTAAATGAGATGATCCCCAAGCACATGGCACGATGACATGAAGGTGTTAGAACTCATTAATTATGGTAATCAAGTGTGTCCTTGGAAGCTTGACTGTGGTTGGCAGGCAGTCAGGGCCTCTTAATGGCTGCCTGGCAGGGGTTTTACCCTGACATCTCGTGTCTCCCTGTCACCGAAGAGGACACATGCTCCAGGAGTGACTGAGACCTAAGTAGGATGAAGTCTGAGGCAAACTCAGTGGGCAGCAATGTTCAGGCCCAGCCCAGCATTGCAGATGGCTCCCACTCAGTCCCTCTCCTCCCTGTCCTTGGCCTGGTTCCCCTTACTGTGGTTCCACAGGCCTTGTCCTCCCTCGGGCCCCTCTGAGATACTCCCTGCTCCAATTCCTTGACCTGAAATAAGATCTGTTTTCTCTTAGCCTGATCAGGGGTGATAAGGGTTATCTTGGGAGAGGCAGATGGGGATGGAAACTACCTGGGTGACAAGCCTAGGCTTCAGCCATTTGGGGACGATGGGGCTGGGCCCTAGGCCCACTGAGTTTGTTTCCACCTTCTTGGAGGGCTCTGCATGGAGCTCAGCATTGCCTGGGGGAAGTAGCATTCCCTACACACTGGAATTCCTTTCTCTATGGTCACTCAGCAGTCACTCAGCAGGACAGAGCCAGCCAATGGTAGGAAGGGCACAGATTACGTTCTGATATGTACATAGTTCCACGATGAACAACCCAGAGCTCCCGTGCAGCCATGCTCAGCCAACTCGTGCTGAGCTGGGCTCTCCTGTAATTATGTGTCTACAAGTCTCTGCCTAGCACACCATGTGCCTTTAGGGAAAGCCTCTGTCACCCTTCTTTGTGCCCTCAGCCCCTGGCCTAGCACCATGGCCACTGAGAGGGCTCAGCAAATGGGCACAGGAGGAAAGGACAGCTGGTGTGTGAGCTTTGTCTCTTGTGTCCAGTAGCATCCACATCTCCTAGGGGCCAATGGCTCGGGCTGCCTCTCCTGAGAGCCCTGTCCTGCCTCAGTGACAGCTCTCCTCACACAGCCAACCACTCTCCATACACCATGAGGTACCTCTAACTTGATTTCATATTAGGGGACCATCCCAGTCTCCTCTTGGTGGTTCTGGAACCTCCCCGCGACACTCCTGCCTGAGTCCCAATACCCCTTCCCAAGCTACTCCTCTGCCTCCTTCTATCCAGGCTTCCGTTCACCCCTACTTTGACCACCCCAATGTCTATCCATTCCTCTGACTTGGTTATATTTACTGCCAGTAGCCTTTCTGAGACCCTACTGCGAAATAAAGCCTGTGATTCTACAGAGAAGGACCCCTGGGGGTCCTTCTGCCTCCCTCCTATCCACACGAGCATCCTTTACGTTCTGGGGTCCAATGGAGTCCCCCATTTCCCCAGCATAACTCTCTGTTCTCCCCCTCCTCAAGACCCACCTTCTGACCCCCTTACTTTGTCATTTCGCTTCTGAGGGCAGGACTGTGTCTACCGTGTCTGCTGCTGGGTCCATAAATAGTGATAAATATTGACCTCTTGAATGACTGCATGGAGGGCAGGGCAAGGATCTGCACAGTGCTCAGAGCAGCCTTGGATGCATTCAGATGGGACAAGGAAGAGGAGGGGACAGCTGTGAAGGGATGCCAAGGCTGGCATTTGGGACGCCTGAATTCTGTCCTGAGGCTGGCAGTTCTTCTGATTTCGGCACTTTACCGCTCATAAAATGCTCTCACTTATAACCCTTGCTCAAGTTCGGGGAGTCCTATTTTGCCCAGACTGGGAGAGTGTCAGTTGTGCTGGTATACAGTCTGAGTAACCTAGACAAAATTCTTTGATGTGTGAATCAGTTTCCTCCTCTGTGAAATGGGGATTAGGCCACCTACTTCGGGAAGGTGAATATGACATCACACCTGCAAACCACCACAGGTGTTTTGGGCTGACTCTAGGGCTCCTTGAGGACTAGTGACTTCACTCACTTCTGAAGTAGGGACCTGAACTTTCTCAAACCATTCCCCCAGTCATGACAGGACTTTGCTGTTGCTCCTGGCAGAGAGAACCTGAGGGTTACAGGGCTGGTTTGGGATCTAGAGTCTTCCAGAGGATATCTGTAAATGGCTCCTCAGGGTGAAAAACAGCAGGTTTCTATGAGATGCCCACAGCACTAGGGAGGGAGGTGAACGCACCCCAAGTTTTTAATGTATTTTTTGAGATACTGTTTCATATCCCAGGCTGGGATATATGTATTCATTACAGTGTAGCGGAGAATGACCTTGAACTTCTGATCCACTTACCTCCACCTCTCCAGTGCTGGGGGATTGCCAACAGTAAACTGATGATGCCAGGAATATGATACTGGGGATCGAACCTACAGTTAGGCAAGCACTCTACCATTTGAGCTACATCCCAACCTAACTCCAAACTTTTGTCTCTCACTCCATTCTCCTCGTGCTAGCCCAAATTCTCACTCCAGCACCTCCTGGCGAGACAGAAAGGGTACCGAGGCCTTCTGGCACAGCCTGGGAATAGGGTGACCCCAGGTGTGACCCCCAACAGGAACAGTGCTGATGCTCCCGATCCGATCCTCCCCAGCGCCACGCACCCTGGGAAACCAATTGGCCTGTACACCCCGCTCCTCCAAGTTGTCCCGAGAGACAGTTCGTGCCCACCCGGACCCATCCTTGCGTGTCACTGACCCATCTTCTTCAGTGCCCGCAGCCCAGGCCTCTTGGTGCCTCTGTCCGGTGACGCGGGCGAGGGCAGGAGCGCGAGGGGAGTTGCGACCTGGGAGGCCACCCGGGCCTGCTCGGGAGAGCGACGGCTTCTTCTCCAGCTGCCGCACAGCATGGTCTCGGAGGGCCCGGGGCTGGCCCGGGTTCTGTGCGTAAGGACCGGGCAACCGGCACACAGCTCGCGGCCAGCCCGCGCCCAGTGCGCGGTCCCGAGCGAAGAAACTTAGCGGCGCTGTGAGAGTCGGGAGGAGGAGGCCTCGGGAGGAGGGAGAGAGGGAGGGAAGAGGTGGAGGTGGGCGGAGCGAGGCTGAGAGAGGGCGGCGCGAGGTGCCTGCGGGACCCCGGGTCCACGCGTTCGCCCCCGCTAGTGAGCCCGTCTCTCCATTTCCCCAGAGGTCCCCGGATCTCCTCCCATCCAGTGAGCAGAGTCCCTGTAAGAAGGGATTGAATACCCTAGGGGAGAAGACTGTCCTCGGGCACAGACACTTTTGTCTGGGAACCCTGATTCTGTGAAGACTCAGGACCCCACTCCATCCACCTTTGCCGGGTCCCTTCGGGAGCCAGACAGCGGACAGGTCTATAGCGGCTCGTCCTAGGCTAAAGGGTCCTTGGGGGCAGGGGAGCCCATAGAACCCCAGAACAAAGCTGCGCAGGGATGGGAGCAGGAGGCTGGGGCAGTGACGTCATGGATTAACCACCGGGCCCCGACTCAGTAGCCACCCCTTAGAGGTGGACTTCTCGAAGCTAACTGATATGAAGACTGAGATGCGACCCAGAAACTGGCTCTGGGGTTCAAAGCTTAAGAGGCTTGGTATACCACACAGATAGATACCCCATCCTTGGTATCTGCACCGCACTCTGAGAAGGTGTTGGTGACGTCATCCCATAGAAAAGCCCCTTTTATGGGTGTCAGTGTAGTGTCAGTTGTACACTTGTGAATGCAAAGGTTGGGATGTCCACATGGCTCTCAAGCACAAGCTTTGGGTAGGGGCAGGCAGCTGGCGCTTGGCAGCGGCAGACAGCCAGCCAGGTGTTTCTCGGGTCCTAGAATCGCTATCTACTGGCCTCCCTCTATTATGTTCCCATATATCCAAGTACCAACAATTCTGTGTGCTAGGTTGAGTCCCCACCATCTCTGCGATCTTGAATTTTCTTACTAATTATCAAAACTTCGCTTCTGCTTTTGAGCGTTGTTTCCTTCAAGGAATGTTCTTTTTCGTTATTTTTCTGATTTACTCTTACTTTTTTCAAAACTCAGCTCCAGTTCTGGGGAACGCTGCGCTATTGCCAGCGTAGACGAGTTCCAAGAGCTGAGTCTCTGATAGGCGGGGCCAGCATCAGCCGACCAACTTCCCGTGAGTTTCCACCAGGGGGCGCGAGGACGCTGCGGCCTTTCGGTGTGTCCACCGGGAGGCGCTGCAGCCCGCCTCTGGCTGTCGGGCAGTGCGGCGTGCGACCCATAAATTAGCCCCGCCTAAATGGGAAAGGCAGGGCAAAATATTTGCATAATCTTGAAAGAGCCTTTCTGACTGGCCAGAGTATAGAAGCCGAATGTGAAACGGTGCCTCTCATTGGCTTAGTTTTCTCGCTGTGCGTCCTGCCCTATTCCTGCCCCTCTGCACCCAAAGGTCAATCGGAAACAACTGGTTAGTGGTGAGAAGAGGACCCCGGTGTCCCGGCAGTGGGCGCCCAAAGGTGAGTGAGGCGCTGGGGCGCGGAGAACCGGGGTGGCTGTTCATCCCACCCCGACTCCTCCTCGCTCTCTGATTCGCTCGTTCAGGAATTGGAAATGGGCAACCTAGAGAGGTGCATCTGGGGACATCTATGGCTCTGAGACCCTTGCCACCTGCCTCTCCTCCCACCCATGGCCACGCTGGTAGTCCTCGCCACTCTGGTTCCATTGACGCTGTCTTGAGGTAGGAGAAGGACCCTCCTCAGCTCAACTTCTGGCCTCCTGGAGTAGCGCTCAGGTCTTGGGACATAGTTTGCTTCTCTGGGAACTGGACCAGTGGCTTAGGGTGCCACCGTGGACCACGAGGCCTGGTAACACCGACACTCGCTCCTGCAGAGTAGCTCCAAAGTAGGGTCCCAAGCTTGGAGCAGCATGGGCACCGAGAAGGAAGAGCCCGACTGCCAGAAACAGTTCCAGGCAGCCGTCAGCGTCATTCAGAACCTGCCTAAGAATGGTGAGGCTGTAGGGATTGGCATTTGGGGTTCCGACACAAATGGAACTGGGCCTGAACCCTGCAATGTTTACAGACAGACAAGTTCCTCCCTAGCCTGTGGTGGGGTTCCCCTCCACTTCCTGTTCTAGCTGTCAGGGGTGGGATCTGTGGCCACCTCTGCCCTCCCAAGGTGCAGCCTTCAACCTCTTGGAACTGGGATTGATGAGGTGCCCTCTACTCCCCAATCCTCTGCTCAGGCTCTTACCGCCCCTCCTATGAAGAGATGCTGAGATTCTACAGCTACTACAAGCAGGCTACCATGGGGCCCTGCCTGGTTCCCCGACCTGGGTTCTGGGACCCCATTGGACGTTACAAGTGGTGAGCTCCCCTCCCAAAGGGTAAAAATGCCTCAGCTGTCACCCAGCTTCTCACAGCCCTCTGCCTCCTAGGGATGCTTGGAACAGCCTGGGCAAGATGAGCAGAAGGGAAGCCATGTCTGCCTACATCTCTGAGATGAAGCTGGTGGCACAGAAGGTAGCGAGGGCTGTGGTGCTCGGTCCCTAAGGGTGGCTTGCCACTCACTCTTCCAGGGGTGTGTCTCATGATTCCTGTCCATTGATAGCCTTTTGGAAATCACCTTTCTGTTGCCCATCCTCCCCATCCTGTCTGATCCTGACTGATACAAGGTGGAGGTTCGTGAAAAGGAATTAGCAAAGGGAGAGGCTGGGCACCAAAGGGAACTGGGGGTAGGAATGGGAGGGGCCAGCCTGTCCCATTAGAACCCTTCCTGTACAGGTGATTGACACAGTGCCCCTGGGCGAGGTGGCAGAGGACATGTTTGGTTATTTCGAGCCCCTATACCAAGTGATCCCTGACATGCCGAGGCCCCCAGACACCTTCCTGAGAAGGGTCACAGGTCAGTTCTCCAGGATGGGAGCCCTGGTGGGTGGCTGCCGTGGGGCAGTGGGAGCAAAGGGCCACAGGTGTGCTATCTGTAAGGGCCTCAGTCAGTGCCGCTGTTGGGCTAGTTATCAGCTAGTATGCATGACTAATGGGGACAAGGGACTTGATCTCACTGGAAGATGCCAGCCTCTTCCCTGCCCCCTCTTTGAGGCTGTGTCTTGACAGGTTGGAAAGAGCCAGTGCTGCATAGAGACAGTGATCAGATTACTCCAGAGCCTTCCTGCCTCCCCAAGGAGCCAGCCCCTCCAAATCCAGGTTAGTGGTTGGGCAGGAGAGATACAGAGCCACACCTACACTACACTGGGAAGGAGCACCTTCAGGAGAGGTGAAGCTAGACACCACGCTGTCCCCTTTATATTACATGTCCAGGGACTCTAAGACTTCCTGTGCTCTCAGAGGCCAAGGGAGAGGCTTTGAGGCTGGTTTCAGGGTCTCATGTCTTGGGCCTATCGTGCCTGCTATGGCAAGGACTCTAGGTCCTTAAGGAAGGGCTTGGTACTCAGCTGCCCACTCTCCCCTCCCTCCAGAGCAGGCCCCCAAACTCCAGTACAGCTACCTTTAACAAGAGCCTCTCCTCTTCCCTCTCCAGAGTCCCGGCCACCCAGGGACTTGGACCTGGAGGTTTTCTGTGACTCCCTGGAACAGCTAGAACCAGAGTCGGTAACACCTTCCCTCTTGTCCCCTGTTCCCGTGTCAGAACTGCCCCACCTCCATCCTGGGACCTGGGACTCATCTCAGCAGGTTTGGGCAGAGCAGAGGGGGACACCTGACACAGAGCTGGACACCAAAAGCAGCCCTGAGTCCCCTAGTGAGAAAGGTGAGCTCTCCACCCTGCCCATGGTCTGGTACCCCAAACCTTCCCTGGGTTGTCCTCTTAGGGCAAAGGTGAAACTTCAGTGCCACTACTGGGGAGCAGCCTGGGAGGGCTCCCCAACAGCCAGATGCCTGCCTAGAAGATCAGATTTCCTGTCCTAGGTCTTCCTGAGGTTGGTGGCCTCAGAACCCTCGGCAAAGACACAAGTGCCTGGCATTGGGAAGTTGTCCTCTTTCTGCCTCCCAATTTGAATTATCAGAGGAAGACACTGAGTTCTGTCTGCCTTACCCTCATGTAGAACTTCCTGTGTGCTAAATCGCCAAAGGGATACTTTCATAAATTGTTGTTTATCCCCCTGAGCAGACCAGGTTCAAGAGGAAGAGGACATCTTCCCCTAATTTCCAGGAGCTAAACCAAGGCTCGGAGAAGTGAATGGTTTGCCCAGAGTCACATAGCTAACCAGTGGCAGTGCTAAGTCAGCCCAGTGCCAGCAGTCCTGAGAAAGGACCATGTAAAGGCCACACTGGGGACAGGGATCAAGCACCCTTCCTCTTCTCTGGACCTGCCCCAGCTTGTGCAGGTTGTCTCCTGAGTTCCCTTCCCTGTGCCTCTATGCTCCACAGAGGGCTTGGAAGGCAGTCTGACGGGGCCCCAGGAATTAGACAGATGGCTGGTGGGAACAGTCCGGGCCATGCAGGAAAGCATGAGGAATGTCCAAAGGAGACTGCAGATCCTGGAGAACAAGATCCAGCCATGTAAGCAGGTGAGCATCTCCGTCCTTCACTAAAAGATTGGGCAAGGGTGCCTCAGGACGCCACCCTGGATTCCTCATCCAGGTGTTTTGGGTTTTGGCATTATGACTCCACCTGTCCACTGCTCTGTGCAGAGAGTGGTACAGCTGCTATTCTAGCCAGGGCAGCTAGCCCGTGGGAGTATTTTCCACTCTAGGGGGAGGGTGGGAAGAGCCTACTAGGAAAAGGGGGCCCTTCACTGCTCTGCCCCAAAAAACCCAAGCAGGGAGTCACTCCCAAGGGCCACCAAGTGTCTGCTTTTTGCACTGGGAATGGGGTCACGGTGGGCCCTCAGTCAGCACCCCTGTTCCTAGATTTAGGGTTTGGGTTCCACTTTGCACCTCTCTTCTCCCTGCCCCCCATCTCATGCAGAACAGTTCGTTCACACTAGTTGCACCCTAGTCTAAATACCCTTCTGTTGTTTTGATTTGTCTTGTTTAAGGCAAGGACTCAGCCTAAACCTAGGCTGGTCAGGGACTCACTTTGTAGCCAGGGCTGCTCCTCTGGTAATCTGCCTACTCAGCCTTGGGAGCGCTGGGATTACAGACATGAGCCCCTCTGGCTGCCCAAGTGGTTTTTTGTATTTTTTCTTTCTGGCTTCTTGAGATGGGATTTCTCTGTGTAGCCCTAGCTGTTCTGGAACTAACCCTGTAGACCAGGCTGGCCTCGAACTCACAGAGATCCACCTACCTCAGCCTCCCAAGTGCTGGGATTAAAGGTGTGCACCAGTATGCCTGGCTTTTTTTTTTTTTTTTTTTTTTGAAACAGCCTCCACCACTGCCCAGCCCAAGTGTTTTTCAATTTAGACCAGTTCTTTGCCTCTCTGCTGACTTACTGATATTCTCTCCCTCTCCCCCTCTTTTTCTCCCCCACCCCATCCTCAATCACCATGTGGCCTGCTGGCTTGGCTTTTGCCTGTATTGTGTGTGGCATGATCTTGCTGTGTATCCCAAAAGCTTAGAATTTACAGTCCTCCAGCCTCAGACTCCCGAGTGTGACTTTATTTACCTTTTGCAGAAGAGGAAATTAATGCCTGAGAATTTAGTTTACCTGAGGGCACACAACATGGGAGACATTCACTGAACTGCATTTGACAGTAGTACCTAGTACCTAGCAGTATCCTCCAATGGGCTCTGTTGTTAATGTCGACTGACGAAGCACAGGGTGGTCCCAAGTCTCCTGGTACCCACCCTAGTGAAAGAGTGTTTAAAACAGGATTGGGACTAGTTTGGAGACCTTGGGTGTGACCCCTAGCCTACTGTGTGGTGAATCTGAGCCCTGGTGACAAGGATTTCAACACTGTCTCCCCTCCCCCACAGCATTTTCCCCGTTTTACCTTTCACCTACTTGAAATTGGAAGGATTCCCCCCAAGCCATTCCCTGCCCCCGCCTGTTAGAGACTTTGAAGCAAGGACTCTACCACTGTGCCACATCATCAGCCCATTTTTAATATGAGACAAGATCTTACTTAGTTGCCCATTTGAAATTATAATCTGTTTTATAGATTATAAAATATCTGGGGTTGAGCTGGGGAGACAGCTTAGCTATGGGGCATTTACCTAGCAGCCATGGGGCTCTGTGCTCAATCTAGCCCAAGAGGGGGAAAAAAGAAATTTAAGCCTAACATTTGATGAGTAACTGAAATCACAGACCTGTGTCATCAGGCCTGGCAAAAATGAGGGTCGGGGTGGTGTGCGCATGTGTTTTCGTGTATGTGCTTGTGTATCTGCGCTCTCAAGTGTGCGTGTGCGTGTGTTTACCTGTACATGCATGCCATGGAGCACATGAGGAGGTCAAAGGACAATTGCAACGCTCCTTCTGCCATGCTAGTCCTGGAGATCAAACTAGGGTCACCAGGCATGGCTGCAAGCATTGTTTCTTGCTGACCCCATCTCACTGATCCTAAGCATTTTTGTTTTGCTTTGTTTTATTTGAGACAGGCTTTCTCTATGTAACCCTGGCCGTCCTGGAACTCACACTGTAGATCAGGCTGGCCTTGAAATCACAGAGATCCACCCACCTCTGCCTCCCTAGTGCTGGGAATAAAGGCGTGTGCCACCACTGCCCAGCTTGATGCTTAAGCATTTTAAGTAGATTGTTTCAGCATACCTCCAATCCTACCACCATGAGGCAAAGTCAGGAAGATCCATGAAATCTGAGGCTCACCTAAGCTACAGAGTGCCACACCAGCCAAAAAGCAAAAAGAATTATATTGTAAGCATCATAAAATTCTGCTCTGAATATATTTTATTACAATTCTTTAATTGGATATCACCAGATATCCAATCCAAGTTGAGATTTTCCTAGTTGGCTTGAGACTCTCGTTTCCAGCTGCTGTTGTCCAGTTGAGGATCACACTGTCATCATCGTTATTATTGCTGTTGGCTGTGCAGACAGGCAGGTGTCAAACCCAGGGCATTCACCTCAGCATCTAAGCTGCATCCCTCAGCCTAAACTAGTCCTGGCATAGGGGTGTGTAGAATGTCCCACTTTGGGGGTCTAATCATGTCTAAGTTCCTTGTACATTGTATTTCCTGTGAAGTGGGTGCAAGAGACAAAGACTGGTTTAGTATCCAGCTAAACCTTCCATCAGAGACTAGATTAGGTAGCTTACTTACACTTGTTTTTTGTTGACTACTTTTGTTGACTTCTTTTAATGTGTATGAGTGTTTTGCCTGCATGTATGTATGTGTACCACATGAGTGCCTGGCATCCTCATAATTCATAAGAGGGTGATGGATCCCCTGAAACTGAAATCAAAGGCAGTTGTGAGCTGCCATTGAGTGGCAGGTACAATGCAAGAGCAGCCAGTGCTAACTACTGTGTCATCTAGCTAGCTAGCCCTGGGGGGGGGGGGGGTTGTGTGTGTTTTGTTCTTTAGTTCTGTTAGTGAAGGCTGGAACTCACTACCTACGTAGACCAGGCTGGTCTTGAACTCACCGAGATGTGCCTGCCTCTGTCTCCTTCCCTCTGCTACCCAGTGTAGTTTACATTTGTAATCCTATCACTTGGAAGGCTGAGAAAGGAGGGTTGCTGTGAGTTCCAGGCCAGCCTGAGCAATAAAGTAAGACTTTATCTCAATAAATTAAAACACAGAAATTTGGGGGCTAGAAAGTTGAATCAGCTGTTAAGAGTGCTTCCTCTTCGTCCAGGGGCCCCAAGTTTCTTCCTTACACCCACGTCACACTGCTCTGAAATGCCTGGAACTTCAGCTCCAGGGATTCAGACCTTGATGCACGTGCGAATGCTGTCTCAAAGCCACGCCTTCCCCACTATCCCAGACGGTTCCATCCATGGTTGCCAGCAACTCCTTGTGCACACACGCACGCACAAATAAATGTTTTACAAACAACAAACCATTTCAGAGTGATGTGCCCCTCACATCAGAGGACACTCAGAGGACAAGCGGTATCTGGCCCTCTACCACTAGTGAGTCTAGCATGTTTTGCTGGCCTGGATGCAAGGGTGACACTCTGCTCCAACTCCATGATACCAAGTTTTTTGTTTTCCTCTTAAAGCTGTGGAATATTCAGTTCATCAACTATTTGCCAGACTGTGTTTGACAACTGATCATCTCTGCCTCGATAGCAATTTATTTAATACTTGCAAAAAATCTGTTAATTTTCAATTCTCTTATTCCTCCAATAGGTTAGCATTTTGTTTTCTGTAGGGTTTTCCTGAAACAAAGTTGTCCACTGAAAAAGCAGGGTTTCTTTTTCTTCTTTTATGCAGGTCCCTGTTCTTCCTCCTTTCTTTTCTCTTTCTTTTTTCTTTCTTTCTTTCTTTCTTTCTTTTCTTTTTTCCTTTTCTTTTTTTCCCTTGTGATAGGACCCTGATGTGTAGGCCAGGCTAGCCTTGGGATTCCCCTATGATCTTCCTGCCTTGACCTCCTGAGTGCTGGGATTACAGGCAAGGGCCACCATGCCCATCTTCTTTATCTCTTGTTTTTTACAGTGCTGGGTGGAATGCAGGGCCTTGCACATGCTAGGAAGTGCTGCCCCATGGAGCTGCTTCCCTAACCCATGTCTAGTTAATTATTTGTTAACATTAATTTTGTGTCTAGTTTGCTTGCATGTATGTGTATCATGTATGTGCCTTGTGCCCAAGGAGTTCAGAAGAGAGTGTCAGATCCCTTGGAACTGGAGTTATGGATGGCTGCGAGTCATCATGTGAATTCTGAGAATTAAACTTTGCCCCTCTACAGAGCAACAAGTGCTCTTAACCACTGAGCCATCTCTCCAGACCCTAATTAATATTTAAAGTAAGGACTTGACTGGCAAGCCTCCTCAGTGGTACAGCTTCTAGTGTTCTAACTGTCACAGACAACTAAATTGTAAAAACTCATGATTTTAATCATCTGTAATCATTCTTTTGTGTTTTTGTTTTTTTTGCAATTCTGTGAATTGAACCCAGACCCTCACATGCTAGGCAGGTACCCTTCCATAGAGCTCTATATCCAGCTCTCTCCCCCTCTCTCTCCCTTGTTTATTTTGTGCACATGCGTCTTTTGCCTGAACATATGTCTGCACCAGTCTGCAGTGCTGCCCTTAAGAGGTTGTAGGACCCGGCAGTGGATCCACTGTGTACTGCTCTGTGTGTGTGTGTGTGTGTGTGTGTGTGTGTGTGTCAGGGGACGGCTTTGTGGAGTTGGCTCTCCTACCTTTTTGTAAGCTCTGGGGATTGAACTCGGGCAGACAGGCTTGTATGTCAGGTCACTGAACTATCCTATTAGTGCCCCTACCTCTTTTTTTTTTTTTTTTTTTTTTTTTTTTTTTTGAGACAAGGTTTCTCTATGTAGCTTTGGAGCCTGGCCACCTGGCCTGGAACTAGTTCTTGCTGTCCAGCCTGGTCTCAAACTCACAGAGATCCATCTGCTTCTGCCTTCTGAGTACTGGGATGAAAAGCATGCGCCACCACCGCCCGGTTTTGTTTGTTTTGTTTTTTTTAACTAGATTGTCAACTTTGGAAATCCTTTCAAGTCACATCTTTTTCTTGGGCCCTAGTTCATCTTTAGGGGTTCTCTAGCTTTTTAGTACGAGATGTCTTACACTGCCTCACCTTCCCTGTGCCGACCCTAGGATCGGCTACTCCTCCCAGGAATCCTAGCTCCTTCTAGAATAGACGTTTAGAAACTAACATCTGAGTCCTCGTTTGAAATGTGTGGTATATCCTTTACAGTACAGTCCTTCAGTCCTACTAGCCAGGTCCTTCTTTTGCGGCCTGCAGGAGCCGGTTTGGAAGCCAGTCTCTCCTGTCACCTGGGATTGGATCCATGTGTGTGGGGTAGAGGGGGGATGGGGTGGGGTGTGTGTACACTTCAGGCTCGTGGAGCAGACGTAGGACCTTCCCAATCTCAAGGAGGCCAGGCCAAATGAGTCTGGAAGTAAGCTACTGGGAGGGCTGTACTGAACCTGAGCTGGCTTCTGACTCCTTCTTCTTGGATGCAGAGGCCACCCAGGACTCGGCCTTGGCCCCTAGGGCTCTCGACTCCCGCGTTGCTCTTCTTTATCCTGTGGCCATTCGTTGTCCAGTGGCTCTTTCGACAGTTTCGGACCCAGAAGAGGTGACTCGAGGAAGTGGTCTCTCTAGCAACTGAAGGCTGTGACGAGTCCCTGCACGTCCTGCTGTGTCCTGAGCCTCCCTAGGTTTAGGGAAACAGCATTAGAAATGTCCCTCCAATGCTCCTTCACCCTGGCACTCCCTCCTTTAGTGGGGGCCCCATAAGACCCCACCCTTTAATGCAGTTCGTACCGACGCCCTGGGTCCCTAGGCTGTCGGGTTGGGTGCTGTTAAAGTGCACATCCTAGCTTTGGGGTTGGCGGTGAGCACCCTCTGACCCCACCCTCTGGGTCACCTGACTTTGCTCCTGCCGAGTAGGCTCCCTGCCGAGGCTCAGCTCTTGGGCAAGTTGGGACTTGGACCTGGCCTGAAGACTGATTGGTTAGAAGGTTACAGGAAAGGCCGGAGCCGGAGGAGCAGGGAGGAATGGGAGGAGTGTGCAAGCTGGGGGCTGGGACGCCCCGTACACACGCACAAGTACACACCACGCTCAGGACTTAACTGAAGATTCACATGCAATTGAATGCTTCATTAAACAAAAGAAAACCTCAGTCTGCCGTCTGGGTGCCCACGGAAAGAGCGGGAAACGGGAGGGTCGCGCAAGCCCCAAGTCCTAGCCTACTCCCTCCCCAAGTGCCCTGCTGAAGCTAGGGCTTCCTTATAAGGAATATCATCCCTCATCCCTAGAGGAACCAGGAGAAAACAGACCTCACACTGGGGTCAGGGAGCACGGGGGGGGGGGGGGGGGCCCACACACTGCTTCGAGGCTCGGAGTTCTTACCGGGAGCCGGGCGTTGGTTGGCCCCACCCCAAAGGGAGGGACGCTGGCCCAATTCAGCATACTGCACTAAAGACCAGGGTACCTAGCACTGGGCTCGAAATGATACTACCTCTTCCCTAGCCCTTAAGTCTTGGTCGTTACTCCCTCTCATGACCTCCGTTCTTCCAGAGAACTTTCTAGAAGAACTGGACCCATCCACGGGGAGCCTCTATCCTGAGGGGTTGGGGCAGGTCCTCTATTGCCTGGCCCCCCAGTTATGGTGGACCTAGGTCCACACGGGCCTCTTTGGCTGCTTGGCCTTGGAACTTTTGGCCACTGCCTAAGTGGCCTTGGCCTCTGATCCCGGATATTCTGTGTCTATCTGGCTGCAGCCACTAGCCTGTATTCAGCTTTAAACTGACCACTCCAGCACCTCTTGCGCTCAGAGCCCATGAGGACTAGTTAGTCCCAGGTTCTTCCTTGCTCTTAGGGAAAGGCAATGGTACTGGAGAGTTCCACTGTGGGTCTGACCATTTCCCCAGGCTGGGCTGTCCTTAGGTCTCATGGAAAATACAGTTACTCTTTGGGGCTATGCAGCAGGAGGGTAACCCCAAGGATAAACACCACACACAGATACTGCAGGATACAGTGCAGGGTCACAAGCAAGAGGGCTGCAAATAACCTGTGCTAAAGGCAGACATCAGCTGGGCCGTGGGAGCCCATCAAATTAGGGCCAGGATGCAGAGGCAGGAAAGTAGAAGTCAGCTTCACAACTCACATGCTGGCTCTGCAAACTGGGACTACGAGATTAACTATTCTGAGTCTGGATCGACCTGTTTGTGAACTAGGAATAGCCTCTTCATCCTAAGGCAGTTGAGAGGTTTAACAACAACTGGAGAGTGGGAAATGCTTGGCAAAGGCTAGATGTTCTGGAATTCTACAGCCTGATGAACATGTCTCTCCCATTATGGAGGAGACCCCATGACCACCCCCACACTCCTTAGCCCTGTCTAATAAATTTAGTCTAGGTTCAGCTTTGGCTTCTACATCACTGACTTTGAGTACCCAAATCCTAAAGCCTCAAGTTTGGAAGTTTTGACTCTCCCAATCAAGTTGTCTGCAAAGATCTTATTTCCTCTTAAAAAACTTTTGCTGTTTTGTTTGTTTAGACAGGGCTTCACTTGTATAACCCTGACTGTCCTGGAACCCACTCTGTAGACCAGGTTATCCTTGAATTCACAGAGATCCATCTGCCTCTACCTCCTAAGTGCTGAGACCAAAGGCCTGCACCACCACTATCAAGCTCCTCTTAATATCTTGCCAGGCAGTGGTGGTGCAGGCCTTTAAGCCTAGCACTTGGGAGGTAAAGGCAGGATTTCTGTGAGTTTGAGGCCAGCCCAGTCTATACAGTGAGTTCCAGGACAGGCTCTAAAGCGACAGAGAAACCCTGTCCTGAAAAAAACAACAAAAAAACTTGATACACTTTATTCATATGAGTGCTTTCTTTGCATGTGTGTCCCTGTGCCACATAAGCCTGGTGCTGGTGGAGTTCAGAAGAGAGTACCAGATCCCTTGGAGCTGGACTTACAGTTGTGAACTGCCATGTGGGTGTTGGGAACTGAGCCTCTGCAGTTCCTCTGCAAAAACAAGTGCTCTTAACTCCTGAGCCATCTTCTCCCAAATCTAGTACCCCTTTTCCCTCTTTGCTTTTCATGTCCTGGTGCCTCCTAATGGATGAACACAGAGAAAGGCAGGCTTTTCAGACAGACCTGAGTTTCTGGAAATACATGGAAAACAAGCTAGAATGGTCATTTTCAAAACATCTGAATGTTCCCTGAGGGCTTGCTTTCCCCTTGGAGACTGTCTTGCACTACAACTGCTACCCCCACCCCCACCACTCTGAAGTCCCTAAGCCTCTTTATAACAGGCCTTTAGCCCAGAGGGAGCATGCACCTATAGTTAGGAACTACTGTGGAGGATAAGGAAAAAACTTCACTGTATACTGAGGTTTTGCCTCAGACACAGAACAAACACAAAAATGTTCTTCGAGCTACTTCCAAGTCAATTGCTCCACAACACCTGTCCACGAATTCTCAAATCCCAAGCAGCTTTTGGCTCACACAGTTGCTACATAGATTTTCTTTACTTGCCATTTTGACTCACTGTGGTTGGGTTTCTTACTGTAGTCTGGGCAACTTGAAGCTCAGAAACTATCTTTTTTGCCCTAACAAATGACTGCCAAATGCTTTGTTCGCAAGGATTTGAAGGATTTGAAGGTTAACTGGAAATGAAACAATCCAGAGTTTTTGAGGGGGTGGGGAAAAGGATTTTGTTTTGTTTTTAAATTATTTTACATATCTGAGGGTTTTTTTTTTTTTTTTCCCTGTATGTATGTCTGAATCACATACATGACTGGGGTCTATGTAGGGCATCTGGTCCTCTGGATCTGGAGACAACTGTGAGCTACCATGTGGGTACCAACACTCTTAATTACTGAGCCAGCTCTCCAGGCCTTGCATTTTTGACCAAAAAAAGAAAAAAAAAAAAGAAAGAAAAAGAAAAAAAGATACTGGGTGTCAGGAAGATGGGAGCCTAGTTTGATCTGTCACTTAATTGTCAAGTGACCTTGGCTAAGTCATTTTATTTCTCCAAGTCTTATATCTAAAATGGAGGCTAAATCCTGGTGTCTCACATGGCTGTGGTGGTCAAATAGTTCGGTCGTGGAATCTTACTGAATTATAGTTGGAATGTAAGAAGAAATAAGAAGCATGGGTCTCTAGGTACTCAAGCAAAGGGAGAAGTGGTAATTGCGCCAAGGGGATTAAGAGAGTTCATGGTCCTTGAGCGGGAGATCAGAGTCTAAACTACTTTTAAGGGGGAACTAGGATCCCATTTCATCCACACTCTACCCTATGGCCTTGGGCCAAGCACACCCAATTTCAGGGAAGGCGTCCAGCCCTCCTCTGGAAGCCTCTTTCCTCCAGGTCTCAATCTTTGAGGAGGATCGCACTTGCAGTAATTTTGGATTCCTGCCCAACAGAGACGAGCATCAACACTGGCCTGGAACTCCCCTGTTGCTGCTAGGGAAAGATTGGCAGACAGCGTCGAGGCCAAGGCCCCGGGAGGCCATTTTCTACTGCCGAATCCGGGGTTCGGGGCGAGTCCTTCACCCCACCACGCGCCTTCGACGGTGCTCAGGCGGAATGCTAAGCCGCGGATGACCACTCTGCTTTCACCTCTGGTGCGGAGACGGCTCTTGGCCACGGTGGCTGTTCTCACCCAAGGGTCCCCAGGGTAGCCTGGTGGACCGACGTCACTCAGGACTCGAACACGCCCTCTCAACTCCCGAGGCCTAGTCTGAGGCTGATGCACAGCAGGCCGTCACACTGCCCCTTTAAGGCGGCACTTCTTAATTCTTCATTTGTTTACTTCTTCATGCGCTTTTCGGTTTTTTTTTTTTTCAAATAAATTTTTGCCCACAATATCCTTCCGCTTATCTCTCTCCCAGGAACTCGTCACCGACATTACTGTAATTTTAAGAATGCATGTCAGCAATCATGACTAACATCTCTCTTTATACGTTTTAATCCTCTTTTACACTTTAGGGACTACTTTTTAGGGACAAACCATTCTTGCACTAGTTGAAAACCGCCTATGACCATCAGAACCTTTCCGCTGAGAACAGAATACGACAGTGGTCTTTTAAACGCACCTTTTAATAAAAATATTCTGTCTAGGCTCCCAAAGGTCATGGAATCTTCTCGTGTTCCTGAAGCACAATGGTACGGTCCAGAATCCGCCCCATCTCCTCTGCGATTGGTCTTCCCTCCTCAGAGAGACGAATAACTCTTGCCCAATGACTGCTCACGTTTCTTCAGCGACTGCAAAGCGATGGAAGGAGACGGCCTGGGAGACGCCCCCTACGCGCTCCACCATTGGCTACGTTGCACGGCGCGCGAGGACGGCGGGCCCGAAAGAAGGGGACTACGACTCCCGGCTGCCCCTCACCGGGACTCCGTTACGCATGCGCACGGGCGGGGCTAGCAAGCGTCTATATATAAGGGGCGCTGAGTGCTGGGAGACAGCAGTTGGAAGTTGGCAGGTGGAAAGTCAGGTTGGGAGGGGAAGCCTGAGGAGGAGGCGGAAGAAGAGCTGTCTGAAGGGGGAGGAGGGAGGGAGGAAAAGAGGAGGAGGCGGAGGAGAACTGAGCGGAGCATCGAGCCAGAGGGGAGATGAGTTTGTCTGTCCTCGGCTAAGGCTCCGGCCCGGCCTGGAGAACTGGGAGCTCGGGTTGGAGCGACACCCGTGGAAGTGGGAGGAGGTGGCTCTGGGACTTTAACCCCTTGTGGGCTCTGCGGCAGGGGATTTAACCCTTTGTGGATTCGGCCCCTCGGAGGCAGCGTCATCGGTAGTTTTAACCCCTTCGGGGCTGGGTTTAACCCATTGGACTTAAACCTCATCTCCTTGCCCACCAACTCCTCCATCGTGGGAGCGCTCGGCGGGGAGGCGTGAAGCCCACCCCTCTGAACATTACGTACTGTGCCTGCGGCTGCACCCCCTTGGACCTGCTAGTTGGCCACGCTTGTGAGCACTTAACCCTTCATTGACTTAATTCCAAGTTGCGATTGGAGTTTGCTGACAAGACGGACAAGAAGCGTCACTGCAGAAATTACCGGCCGAAGAGGACTTTGTTGGACATTTTCTGAAAAGAAAAAAAGCCTTTTTTTCCTTAAGCCAAAATTTCTCAAACTTCCAGAAAAGGACTCTACTAAGCCATGGCCGAGCCACTCTTGTCAGAACATCAACATCAGCCTCAAACTAGCAACTGTACAGGTGCTGCTGTTGTCCATGAGGAGCAGAACTCTGAGCGCCCCCCAGGTGCAGAGGAACGGGTGCCCAAGGAGGACAGTAGGTGGCAATCGAGAGCGTCCCCGCAGTTGGGTGGCTGTCCGGGCCAGGAGGGAGAAGGAGGCCTGAAGCTCCAGCCGCTCCCCTTGCAGACCAATGACTGTACAGAATCGAGCTGCCTGGAAATGGGCGAGAAGGGCCAGAATGGGGAGGACTTATCTACTGGCGGTGCCTCCCCGTCGGTGGAGGGGGAGCCCATGTCAGATTCCCTTGTCCTGCCAGGTCAAGACTCGGAGGCCACCAAGTTGGGGGCTCCTGCTGCTGGAGGCGAGGAGGCATGGGGACAGCAGAGACAGTTGGGCAAGAAAAAACATCGGAGACGCCCGTCCAAGAAGAAGCGGCATTGGAAGCCCTACTACAAGCTGACTTGGGAGGAGAAGAAAAAGTTCGACGAGAAGCAGAGTCTGCGAGCTTCGCGGGTTCGAGCCGAGATGTTTGCCAAGGGCCAGCCGGTCGCGCCCTATAACACCACGCAGTTCCTCATGGATGACCACGATCAGGAGGAGCCTGACCTCAAAACCGGCCTCTACCCCAAGCGAGCAGCCGCCAAATCCGACGACACCAGCGATGAGGACTTTGTGGAAGAAGCTGGTGAGGAGGATGGGGGCAGCGATGGCATGGGAGGGGATGGCAGCGAGTTTCTGCAGCGGGACTTCTCGGAGACATACGAACGGTACCATGCAGAGAGCCTGCAGAACATGAGCAAGCAGGAGCTCATCAAAGAGTACCTGGAGCTGGAGAAGTGCCTCTCGCGCAAGGAGGACGAAAATAACCGGCTGCGGCTGGAAAGCAAGCGGCTGGGCGGCGTCGACGCGCGAGTGCGGGAGCTGGAGTTGGAGCTGGACCGGCTGCGCGCCGAGAACCTCCAGCTGCTGACAGAGAACGAACTGCACCGGCAGCAGGAGCGAGCGCCGCTTTCCAAGTTCGGCGACTAGACAGAAAACTTTTGGGGGGAGGGGGCAAAAGGGGACTTTTTACAGTGCTGGAATGTAACATTATATACATGTGTATATAAGACAGCGGACCTTTTTATGACACATAATCAGAAGAGAAAAATCCCCCTGGCTTTGGTTTGGTAAATTTAGCTATGATGTTGCTTGTGTGCTTTCTCCTGTTCTTTAATTATGTGAAACTGAAGGGTTGCTTTTCTTGTTTTCCTCCTTAGATGTTGTTTCTTAATGTGCAAGTAATTTGACCAAATTATAATGCATTTTTCTGTTTTTAAAAAAAATCCCCTCCTTAAGCGGAGCTATGAGGTGGCCAAATCTGAGACCCATTACATTCATTCTAGTTATAATAAATTTAATGTTTGTAAATGTAACAGTTTCAGTGTGATTTCTAGAGATTCAAAATGTGCCAATTTGTGTGACTACTTTTGAGGAGGGGTTAAAATATCAATTTGTAAAACGACGAAGAAATTCAATATCCCCCCCCCCATGGCTTCAAAATACAGTTCAGGTAAAACACTAACAGTTTTACTTCAGTACTTAAGTGTGCTTGCTTCCTAATGCCTTTTCTTTCTTAACAAATTTGCTGGGTATTTGGGGGGAATAGAAAGTGTCTACAGGCAGAAGCTTAGCATCTGCCCCTTGATGGCCATTCAGAAGTGTGCTAACCAAAAGTATAAACCTCATTTGGCAATTTGTTAGATTTCATCTCTTACAAGTTAAGTTTTCAGTAATCCTGCCTTCCCTTCTAACACCCTCCTAACCCCCGGGATCCTGGATACCTAGGTGAGACTCCTGGTGAACTTGCTTTCTTAGTACAAGCAAGAGATAAACTTGAAGTGCAACTCTTTATTTTAACATGTTACAGACAGAATCCTGGGCTTGAAATGGATAAGTGATCCAAGCTGTATTGTCCAATACTTAAGTGCTTTTCTCTATTAAGAAAAGAAAAGCTGACCTTTCCATTAGACTCAAATGAAATTTGAAATGCCCCTTTCTGCAAGTAAACCTGGTTCAGGAGAGGGCTGAGATCCTTAGGTAATGACTAGAAATGCTGCATGTTCCTAGTATAGCAGCTATTCTCAATCTCCTGGACTGTTGGACAGATGCTTAGGTTAGGTACTTTGTTCTTAAAAATGCAGGAAGGCTCTGAGAACCAATTCCTAACAGTCAGAAATCATAAATTCAACAGTTGTTGTTTCTTGCCTATTAATCCAGCCCTCTTTACCTTACTTGTGTCAGCATTTCCCTAGGGCAATGGTATTGCTCAAATTATTAGCACATAGGTTCCTTAACCTGGAGCCTTAAAAACCACAGGGGGCCTTGGGGGTTCACAAACCTCATATAGTTGTATTTTTTGTGAGATATATTCAAACACTAGCGGGTGGGTTCAAGAGACTCAGGAGGTTACCCAATTCTTTGGTGGTTAAGAACCCCTGTACGGGTTGGGGGCACCCTTCTCTGTGTTCTGGCAGCTACATGGCAACAGTGGAGGTAATGGAAATGTCAAGAATGAAATGCTCCTTATGATGCATAAGCAGCATTTACAAATCAATCAAAGGAAACTGTGCACTAGGACTGGGACCTTCAAAACCAGACTATGCTGCTCCTATCCTGACAGGTGGTCTACTGCAGAAACTGTGAAAAGTAACTTTTCTTTGACCTAAAGGTTGCATTAAATATCTATTTTGAAATAGTTTTGCTCGTGTTTTTCATTTTTCCTTCTATGACATCATGCAGCAGCCCTAGAAAATGGGCTGTTTGGCAGAAGGCAGACAGTGCCCTCTGGCTTTACCATGCAATTCCATGCCTCCTTTTGACTGAACCACAGGAGGCCGCAGCAGTCAGAGTCTGCTCTTAGATGGTTTCTCCTAAGAAAGATTTAACTAGAAACAACTATTTCTCCTACTACTAGAAACATGGAATTTCCAGAATCCACTTTGGGAAAACCTTAAATGCATTTGTCATTAGGAAAAGGTGTACATTCTACTCTGAGAAGGCAAACTATGTCCAGTTTTTAAAAATACACAAATACTTAGTTTTAAGTACTCCCCAATTCTACTTTACCTTGGGTTATGCAAACCTCAATGTTTCCAAGGCACTAACATCTTACTATTTATGTTCTTGGAATGATAGATGTTAACATAAAATTCTATCAACTTTCTAGACTGAAACAAAGACTATATTGCTCTTTCATCAGAGAGGACGCTGAGTTGCCTATAGTAACAGTGTTGTGATGACAAACGATCCTCCACCCGCCACACACACCCCAGCCTTTCATGCAAGTCTTTTGCCAAACATTTTAACAGCTGCTCAGAAGACCTGGCTTACAAGTGAGCAATTCTAGTTTGTTCCCTTTCTTGTACTATGGCTATAAATGAGAGGAAATTACTTCCCAGACTGACAAGTAGACAGAATTTTTCTTGGGCCAGTCAAAAACAGAGACTAAGAGGTAGAATCCTTTTGATTGCAGAGTTTTAGGGGACAGACCCCGAGAGTTCAAGATTGATTTAGATCCAGAAAATAGAGTTTCTGTTAAGTAATGGCCTGGGAATGTAGTTCAGTTGGCACAGTGGTTCCCTATCCCTATCCTGTACATAGTCATGGGTTTGATAACCCAGGCATGTATTTATGCCTGTAATCCTACCATTCAGGAAGTAGAAACAGGAGGGTCAGAACATAGCAAGTTCTAGGCCAGTCTGAGCTAGCTATGTGAGACCATCTCAAAATACTAAAAGGGGGGAGGGGAAATAGCTAAATTGGTAAACTGCTTGCCATGAAAGTTTGAAAACCTGAGTTTGTTCCCTGAATCCATTAAAAAAAAAAAAAAAGCCAGGTGTGGGGCTGCTGAATAGTCAGTTTAGCATTTGTAAACTCCAAGGTCCCAGGGAGAGACTTAGGGGAAGGAACCTGGCCATGGTGATGACACTTGCCTATAATCCCAGCACTCAGGAGAGGCAGAGGCAGAGGCAAATGAATCTCTGTGAGTTTGAGGCCAGCCTGCTCCTCAAAGTGAGTCCACGGACAGCCAGAACTATATAGAGAAACCCTGTCTCGGAAAAAAAAAAAAAAAAAAAAAAAAAAAAAGGAAGGAAGGATAGGTAACAGGTAAAATGTGAAGTATAGGGGGCTGGGAAGATGGAGTGAAAGTTAAGAATGCTTGCTGCTCTTTCAGAGGACCCATTCTCAACACCACATGGTGGGTCACAACCATCTATAACTCTAGTCCCAGCGGATCTGATGCCTTCTTTTGACATCATGGAGCCAGGTGTGCGCATGGTGTACATACACAATGCAGAAAAACACTCAAACAAGTCTTTCAAAGTATTATATATACAAAGGCAAACTACTTTCATTGGATGTGGTGATAAACACCTGTAACCCCAGATGTAGAAGCTGGGCAAACAGGAATTAAAGGTCTTCCTTGGCTACATAGCAAGTTGAAGATCAGCCTAGATTATAGGAGCCCCTGTCTCCAAAACACACTAAAACAAAAAGGTACTATAGGTGATTGTTATTGGCTTTACCAGTGGCAGAACAGTTGCATATTTGATCAGTGTTTTACTTTTCACTTTGCCCTGAATAAAAATCCTTTGCTTGGGGAAAATATGACTAAACATACTTTACAGCCAGGTATAAGTTTCACACCTACAGTACCATGTGGAAAACAGAAGAGTTTGAAGCCAGTCTGAGCTACATGGTAGACGCTTACCTCCCCAAACCATGGCTCTGTGATGTGGATGGGTGACAGAGCAGTTAGCACTTGACTAGCACACACAAGGCTTGGTCAATACCCAGCAACATCAAAACAAAAAGCAATCCATACTTTACCCTAATGGCTTCAAAGTTAGAGAAACTGCTCGGGTGTAGCTCAGTGGCAGAGTACTAGCCTAGCCTTCACAAGGACTCTGGTTTTGATCTCAAGATCTGGCTGGGGACACAAGAGTCATAGAAACGAAGATTCCACAGAAACAAAAACAAATCCTACAATCTAATAGTGTACCTTCAGAAAATCAAGGGGTCAATATTCTGGCACAAAGGGAAGAGAATTGTTACTTTTGTTTTGTTTGTCTAAGGATGTGGCCCCTAGCACATCTACCATGTTCCAATGGATGGCCCCACACCCATTAATATATGGGAAGTACAAACTGGAATCAGTGGGCCACAAAAATTAAATAAATAAAAAAAAAATTCGGAGGTGATGTGGGTAGATCTGGGAGGATTTATGAGGAAGAACGATCAAATGCACATATGGCATTATACATGAATGCATGTATGGCATTAATAACAATATTATCTTTTAAAAATTATCAAAGGATGGCTATATGAAACCAAACATTAATCCAGCACTCTGTACTCCAGAGGCAGAGATAGCAAAATGTCTGTGAGTTCAAGACCTGCCTGGTCTACATAATAAAATCTTGTGTTTAAAACAAAACCCAGGCCAGGCAGCAGAGTCAGGCAAATCTCTATGAGACCAGTCTGGTCTACAAAGCAAGTTCCAGGACAGCCAAGGCTGTCTCAGCCCTGTCTCAAAAATCAAACAAACAAAAACCAAAACAGGACTTTAGGTAATTGTAAGCATCTACATATGTTGCCCTAACCTACTTATACATATAATATTTGACAACTAATACTCACAATGTGGTCAAAAACTGGCTATAACTGATAAAATACTTAAATGGAGGTTCTGAAGCACACCTGAAATTGTGGGCTTTTATCACTGGTGTGAGACTTGGTCTCACTCTACCCCAGGCTGGTCTGATGCTACGAAGCCCAAGCTAGCCTCAAACCCTGAACAGTCCTGCCTCACCCTTCTGAATGCTAAGATTACAGGCATGAGCCAGCATTAACAAACCATGATTGCAATAAAAATTCCATGTTACTCTCACATAAAATATAAACAGCTGGTGTGTAAGAAATAAAAAGTAATGTAATTTTATTTTTAAAAGACTTATTTTTATATGTGTGCCCGCCTGCATGTATGTAAATGTACTGCACGAATGCCTGGTGTCCACAGGCCAGGAAGAGAGCATCAGATCCCTTGATTACATATAGGTGGTTGCAGCTGCCATGTGGGTGCTGGGAACTAAACCCAGGTCCTCAGAAAGAACAGCAAGTTCCAGGAAGCACTCAACTACCTCTCCAGGCCTTATATTTGTATGTGCATGGGCATGCCACACCCTTCAAGTGAAGGTCAGAAGGCAACTTTTTAGATGCCAGGTGCCCTCTCCTACCACGTAAGTCCTGAGGCTTCAATTCAGATCATCAGGTTTGGTGGTAGCCACCTTTAGTGAAAGCCACTGAGCTGTCTCATTGTACCCTAATATTTACATTTATTTTTGAGAGTTTTTCTATATACAGCCCAAACTTG